ATTCATTATAATTATTTCTAATTGCTTAGAATTTTCGACATTTACTTTGGTAAAATTAACTTTTGACTCGAAAATTACAATTAACGTTATTTGTATAATAGGATAACAACATAACAAGATGTCGAAAACGTGAACCTATACAATCACATAACAGCTGTTAAAAGTGCGCCATTATACCCCAGTCTACATTACTCATAATAAATTAGTTATTTTATGATAGTTTAAAAATGTTGTGTTAGAAACTTAAAAATGTTATGGTTGTAACTCAACATCATTTACAACAACCTCTCGCGTAAGTTTCTTTACTATTTTTCAGCACCAAAATATTTTCCCAATCCGCTCCTGGTCGAAAAGAAAGGAGGCCATTACGAGCTACTCTTCAATACGTACTTTAAGAGAAGACACCACGAGGCAGATTAAAAAAGAGATTGCTCGATTGATTAGAGGAAGACTTAGTGAGGATGGATATTGCGAACTGGAAAGATACAGTACATGACAGAAAGAGGTAGCGCATTGTTATGGTGGCGGCCAAAACTCCTAGAAGGTAGATACGCCAAGGAATGAAGATAAACAAAGTATCTGAGTGAATACTAGATACTTATAGAATAAAATAGATAATTATGTTCCGATCATCAATGTATTATGATCTGATCACATGCATGTAATCAGTTTCATATAAATTTAAAATTAATTTTATTTTGATTTATTATTTCAGAATTTGTACGCAATGCGTTCATCGAGAAAATCTATTTTTCAATTCATAATTAGTATATCGTCAAACTAAATCATAAAAGTTATAACTTTAAAATGGCCGATTTTCAAGAAAAGTGAATAACATTTTATTCATTATATTTATCCTAATACATGGTCTTCATGTTCTTCAATACTTTCATTGCAGAATAAATTATTATTTGTGAGTTACCGTGGTTTAAAACGATGCTTTATCATTTATTTGATTCAAAAATAACATAAAATCGTATTTTTTAGATACAAAACTATTACTAAATAATCTGACGATATAGTACATCGGTGCCATAAGTGCGAATGTTTACAAAAAGAAAAAAATGTATAGTTTAGAATATTATATTATTTTACATTTATTAATTTTTAACAATATATCTAATCTACGATATAATAAACTTGAGAACAATAACTCCATTTTCCTATAAATTAAGTACATATTTTAAAAAAATTGATTTTCTCGATAAAAGAGTTGCGTACAAATACATTATTATTACGTTCCAAATATTTTCAAGTTTACGTTTTGTACAAATTTTGAAAATGTTCAAAAAACTCCATGCTAATTATGTCCTAATTATAAACTATAGAAAATTGAGTGTTCTAAGACAGAAAGGAAGTTAGCGTACTATGCATGTTGAATTTACTACATGTAAAATAACTCTTTTTTTGTAACGCAAGTATGAGGCGGCAGTATTCAGTGTGATATCGGCCATACAGACGAGGAAAATGTTTTTAATAAATGATTATTACAAGGTCAGTGTTCGGTCCGAGGCAGATATTAGTCTTGATATATTTACTATATTTACTTACAAATTAGGCTGATAATTTATGTGCATATTATTTTCTTTATAATTTGAAACAATCTTACCCACCGAATCGACATGTCAAACCTTTCGTGAATGTCGCCAATCCTGGACGTGGTGGTTCTCAGGATGCAGGTTTATTTCCCTGCTCAAAATTTGGTATCAATAACTCTGTTCGTTCTTTCTTTATGGTTTTGGTGGACATCATCCATTCGTTGTTGACAGAACTCTGTATAACGTTGATAACGTCGAAGAATTGATCCGCAAACGAGCCTTTAAGTGTTTCAGTATATTTTATTGCCTCGTCTAAATGTACGTTTATCATCTCGAAACCATTTTCAACTGTGAGTACTTCATCCGGTATATACGCATTGCCGGCCTCCACTTCCAATATTGTAGACAAACTGCTCAATTCCAAAGTAATCATGTTAAAGACATCCCATGTACGAACGCTACCTTCTTTGATGAACTTTTGTACGACAGGCAGCAGCTCTGTCAGAAATACGTCCTCCTGGAGGAAATTTATCGCACCATTGATAACTGTTTCGATTCTTCTACAAGTTGTTTCCAATTTTTCTTTCGATTCCATTACTTTGTCGTGTAGGTAATTACAATCGAGGACCACGATCAATATGTACCGATTAACCACGGTCCGATACACCTGTTTTAACTTATTTTGGTGGCTGTCTACTCTTCTGCTTTCATTGTAAATGTTCAGCTTAAAGTCGGCTTTCTGTGTAAGCGTGTACGTATTAATGAGCTTTGTTTGTAATTTATTCCAATCAATGTTGAGGTATGTCGCCTGCGTCTGGAAAAACATGTTCAGGGATTCTTTGTTCGTAAACAGTTCGTTCAGAATCCAGTTTTCGATGTTAAAACGGTTGGAATTTTTATTTTTTACTAAATTTTGTTTAGCATTATCTAAATTTTGATGAATTATAAGCAGATCTTTATTAAAATCAGAAATAGAGACTACGGTTTCATCGGATAGTTTGTCCATGATATCATTTTCCAGTATTGCATCGCATTGTTTAATGAATTTCTTTGCAGTATCCATTACAACATTGCCCATATTATTTAAATCATCGTCAATAAACATCACCATCATAGATCCTAAATTAGCCTTGTCTGCTACCTCCTTTGAATATAAAGAGGACAAGACCATATATTTGGGCGGTACATAGCCCAATACGTACATCATGTCCATTAATTCCGTGACGTTACCATAATATGCCAATCCCACACTTTTTATATAGCCCACTATTTCACCAACATTATTATTTCTTTGGATTAATCCAACATTGTTTTTCATCATTTTCGCAAATCTGTAAGCAGTCATTGCCTGTGAACATTGAATATGAGTTGCGAACAAATTACACATTATAAGCCCAACTCCATATTTTATTCTTTCCTCTTTGTAATCATTTTTATATTGAGCACTCCACTTCGTATCGTACAATTTATTTTCTTCTCTAAACTTTTTCATATTGGAAATAAATAAATTACTTACATTATCGAAAAACCTATTGGAACTGGAAAATGTGTTCAATAGAACCATTTCATTGTTTGTATAATTGCAGCCAAATGTAAACGAAATGCAAAAATAAATACTTAGAAAAATTTTACAAAATAGCATTGTGCGACTAATTTTTATGTAAGAAATTAAGTAAATTTAATTTATATATATTTTATAATAATTGAATGGTTTATTAATTTATAAATCTTTTGAATCTCGTTTCAATATTACTTCTTATATTATACTTATGTCATTCTCTAAAACCAATATTAACTTTTAAAAACTAACACACTTTATTCGTTTTGTTAGTATACCTAGTATGACATAGTTAGTATTCACAAGTTATAAATCATAATATATATCTGACGAGTTAGTACATGCACATTGTGTTACAACTTCAAAAATAGGGTCATCATTTTTCTACATTTTGCTACGGCATTTATGACATAAACATTTAAAAAAAAAATGTTTTCATTTTTTTTAGATTCGCTAACTTCTGATAAATATTATTCTAAAATTTTAATCTTATAGACATACATATCTGTCTAAAAAATGTTTTATAGTGTTTATACTGAATTTAACAACAGAGGCGACGCTTGGGAAAAGGAATCGTATGATTCAATGGTCTCCCAAACATTGTTAGTATTAAAATAAAATCTATTAGTAAGGATAGCTGTGCCACTGCTGTATGTGAAAAGTGAGGAATATCGAATGCATAAAGTTATTATTAGTTGAGTTTAAGGAAAAGGTGGTATACGGTTGTTTAATCATAAAAATCAATAAAAAAACGCATCACAGTTAACCAATCGCTATGCTCTAAATCTAAAAAAAAAAACAAGTATGAGGACTTATGCCAATAGTCATGTAAGGAAGTTAAGGTCTTTATTTAATGAATTATGATGGAAACCTGTTATCTATTCTTATAAACTTTCTGTTTGTACTAATTCTAATTTTACGGATTATTACCAAAATGTTCGTCGTCTACGACCCAAATTGAATTTATTGAAATGTTCATTACCATATTTTGCATTTGATTTTATAATTCTTAGTACAAAGATATGGTTAAATTAATAAATAAATTATAATCTATAAGTATTGTTATAGTTTTGTTTTTCCTTCTACAATTTAATGTTTGTTTTTTGTTCTCGAAAATACATTAATTTTCTATTAAATATTGTACCTATATTGTATTAATATTATGGCACTGTAAATTTAATTATAATTTATTGTAGTGATATTATTATTATTAATAACATTATATCGTACAATGTTGAAAACATAATAAAGTATATACCTACATTACAAATATACAAAAAATACTTGGTTACAAGTATTATTAATATTTGTGTAACGCAATATTATTATTTTGACACCTAATACAATTGTGTATTTGTAACGCGTATATTGTATTATTCTACTACAATTACGTAATAACTGCGATATGAATTATGTCATGATTCATATTTATTAATAGCGGTAAAACTTGTTTTCATTCAAAATATAAAAAAATTTGTAGTTGCACTATTGCTTTAAAGATATCTAAAAATTTCACTAAATATGCGTCAAGAAGCTAGCATGTGCCCTGTCCTTTTTTGCTCGAAATAATTTTAAAAAATTATCCTGGGATAATAAATACGAGTACAATAAACCATTAAAAAGAAAAAACGATTCTGAGAGTTGTTCAGTTGATAGTGATGATTGTCAACAATATATATGTCATATTATGGTAAAATAATTACATTATTATATATTTTCTTTATTTATATTTGTTTTAATATTGTACCGATTTTCTCATTATCCATAAGTATTTTTTCTGTTATTTTTCAGTTTTTCACATTTGATAAGAAAACTCCTGAGAAAATCGAAAAATAATTTTTGCATATTTAATTATTTTACTATAATATGATATATATATTATTGACAAAGCAACAACATCAACCAAATTGCGTTCAGAATCGTTTTTTCGTTAGTAATAGTTTATCGTTGCTTACAGATATACATTAAATTCGCTTCTGTATTCTTTCTTCACAACTTCTCACCTACAACAGTAGCTACACCCGTCCCTATTATCCTAGGACATCTTTTTATTAACTAATATACCTATATTTCATATATTTTCTCGTTTTTGTCCCGTTTTTTTCAGTTTTTTACATTTGTTAAAAATATCCTGGGAAAATCGAAAAATTACAGTTATTAAGTATCTCCCCTGTCAGATTTATTTTTAGTAAAAGTGTTATTATTGAAAATTAGAACAAAGAAAATTGCTGGTAGAAAAGTTTGTCCACAGAAAAAAAAGTCTTAATAATTTACTAATATATTCCGTACATTTGACCGTTTTCTATCGCCACATTGGATAATTTTTTGGAATATGAAAAATCTATCATTTCCATAAATTGAATTATAAAGGAAGTCCCCTAAAATCAAATGTCTTTTAGGCCTTTGTATGATAAAAACTGTTTTTAATATTTCTTTACAGTATTTTTGAGAATCAATGTTATGATACACCCCAACACGCGTAGAATAAAATTTGGACGGAAAACTTATATTTGCCTTTTCTAGACATGGTCAAATTTTCAATTCCTTCGAGCCATTTTTGATTTATTTATAGGCATTTTAATTTTAAGTTTTTTATGTATTGTTATTCGATAGATAAACTGTGGATAAAATTGTTAGACCAAACAGAATTGCTTGAAAAATTAACAGGAGGTTCATTTTAAGTTGTACTTATAATAAGTACAATAAAGTGGTCAACAAGAAAATGTTGAGTTTAATGTAGTTTTTTTTTTAAGAATTTTAATATCTAATTTTGACAAAAACCGTAAATATTACGGCCTTTTGTATTTAGACTATATTTAACTTGTAATTGGAGAATTTCTTTTAGTTTAGATTTAACTTTCTAAAGTTTCTGTTATTTAAAGAACTTTCAAAAATTAAACTTTTAAATCGTCTAAAAGCACGGTATTCAATTTTTTTCAAAAAAAAAAAGAAAAGGAAAACATGTGAAAATAGAAAAAATAAAACTGTTAAGCGACGTGACAAATAAAATATCATATAATTTTTATTTACTTACTACTATTTATAATACTTAATACACGTTATATTTGCCACAAAAATAAATTTAGGTACCTTTGGGTTTAATGTTTATTTGATAAACTGCGTAAATCTTTTTTTTAAAAATACATAACACGTGAGTTTTAGTTGTGAAACGATTAAATGTTTCTACAACGTTTTGAAGTGTTTACTGTGTAAATTATACAGTACACAAATGGGTTTAATTTTAAACCGTTTTACGACACTAAAAATGTTTTAATTTACAGAGTAATACATAATATATATATGCCGATTACGTAATAATATTATTGCCATGCATATATTTTTGGTCTCTGATGTGTACAACTGTTGATCCCATTAGATTATTAATTGTTTGTTACTATGTACTATGTGTTTATGTCTGATCGGTTAGAAAAAGCTTTTTAGTAAAAATAAAATTATAATAATTTTACAGACTTAAAAAAACATACTTTAAATGTATCAAATAATTATTCCATACTAATCAAAACGTTAAATGAAAAATAAAGTGATAACAACACAAATAACGAAAAAAAAAAGGAATAAAATATATGCCTGTTTCCTACACTATAAATACTTCATTTTGTAACTTTTATAACCCATTCATGGCCTTCGCTGCAATAATTATTTCTCGCCATCATTTTCTATTTTGATTCAGTTCCAGCTCCATTCCTTGCGCAACCTTTTCATTGTGTTCATCCATTTTAGCCTGGGAAGATAAGATACCTTTTTTTATAGTATTTTGAACTTATTTAGTGCATTTTGGAGGTCATTTTTCGATAGTCCCAAGAGTTTTCCGAGCAAATGTGGAAAATTGGGAAAAAACATGGGAAAACCGGGAAAAACATAGGAAAAACGGGAAAATCGGTACATTAAACAAATATTATCAAATAAAATATAATAATTATATTATTATGTATACGTAATTATTTTTCCATATTATAACATATTATGTATTATATTGTTAACAGAGCAATACTATTAACCGAACTTAGATCAGAATCGTTTTTTCGCTAGCAATGGTTTCATTGCTTACAGGTACACCTATAACAATGGCTGCATTGGCTACCCGTCCCTATTATCCTAGGATGTCTTTTTTTTCTCTTAAACTTATTTCAATAATATGGTTACATTTAACTATTTCTAAACCTTTGAATAAAGGTTTTTTTAAATCATCAATATATTGAATTATGTCAGTGATTTCTATTGCAGGATTAAACATTATAAACTTTTATTACAACAAATTGTAAACAAAATAAGTTTTGTTAAGAAAATTGAGTATCAAAACTAGTAATAAAAGCATTATTTTGTCTGAATTTCTATGATTCTAATGCTATTATAGTGCTCATCTCCCTGTTAGTCTTATCATTAGTGTCGACAAGACCTATAGTTCCTTTCAACCGCTAATAGGATACTAGTACCCATAGACCTAATAATAAAGTATAATGTTTATAGGTCTACACTAGTACCTAGTAGCATTGATTAAATATACATAGATAGCCCACGGGTATACAAAAGATTGAATAGCCGTGATTAGTACTAAGAGTTCTCATAAGATGGCATTAGCAATAACAATATTTAAGAAATAATTATAATCGTAATAAGATGGACAGTGAAATTTTAAACGAGCGAGTGGATCACGTCAGTAGGCCGATCTTCATAAACAATTCCCGGTTTGGACTTTGGATAAAAGTCGTTGATAAGAAAAGAACCTTTTCTCGCCAGTCGTATAATTTATAATTTATAATATTACAGTGCTACAGCAACAGTTGTCACTTGTTCTTTTATTGTTTATAATAAAGGTATAAAATATTACATTTTCATGCTTTCTTAGTTTTATTTTCGTTAAATGTCAATAAAATATTTTTGCCTTATTATTAACAACGCTTCTCATACGTTTCTTTACCCAGTAACGTGCGCAAGAAGAGGGGGTTTCATCACCCCAATTGGCTTAAAAGTACATCAAAATATGAGTAATCTAATATCGAAACACACATGTCAACCGATTTCCGAAGAAAGTTTGATTTAATAGTTAGAAATTGGCACTTTTTATGATCCAGCTTTTAAACTATCAATTCTCATTTTCGAGTTGGGTAGAGAAGACAATTTTACTCTTTATTCACGATTTTTATTTGTTAAATCAGTTATATGGAATGTTATCATATATCGTTTATCAAAACTGTTATAAACACCGAAACAAAATCAAACCAGCACCACAATCATGGTTACTATCGAAAACTACTCAAGCGCTCTCTGATTCATTGTCCCACACTATTATTTTTGGGCTCCCATTACCTCGATTTATTATTAACAATTTTTAACGCTGCGTGGGCTATCTATGTATATTTAATCAATGGTTGTAGATCCCGAGATTTACTCTATACTATAGCCGATCCACAGCCGTATAATTATCAGCTATAGCCGTGTTCGTGATATGGGTTCGTGATAAGTTCCATCAAGTTCGATTTTCTTATCATATCAAATACTATTTTGAAAAAGTTATTATCTAGATCGTGAAAAATACCACTTTTCGTTGTACAACTCCGTTAACATCCCGTTCCCGTAATCCCTTCTAACTCCGTAATATAATAATATAATATAATATTATGATTATGATGTACTTACAAATTCAATAAATTTATCTCATATCTGGTAATAAATTATTATTGATTCGAATTATTTAAATATTTAATAACCCTTGAATATGTCTATAAAATTATTTAAATATGTCACAAATTTTTGTATAAAAAGCAGAGTGTTAATGAAATATAATTTGAGTACATCAAATAACGAAAAACTGTAAGTATCTTAATATGTTAATATATATTCTTAAAATTCTTAATATTAATCACATGGATTTTAATATCTTCTCTTTATTTTTTATTACCTTTTAGTTTTCAAGAACTCGAATATTCTTACTAAAAATTGATTTTCTTATTGAGGTCATGTAAAAATATATAAATTATTTTGTTATCTACTGTAAAATTTGATACTATGTTGAAGAATTTGCAACAATAAAAATGAAAACAAAGTTTTTTAAATACTATAAAATAAAATAGAATTTTAACATATTAAATAATTTGATATTTTCAGAATTAAGGTAACTTTTAACAAAGCCAATGGTGAAAAAGTAACTGCAGAAGGGAAGAAAGGAGATTCATTGCTAGATGTCATTGTCAATAATAACTTAGATTTCGATGGATTTGGTACTATTATAAAACAATCAAATATATATTACTTCATTACTTCATTACTCAATAATACCTTCTTTTATAGGAGCATGTGAAGGTACATTGACATGTTCTACGTGTCATGTTATATTAAATCAGAAGAATTATGATGAATTACCTGAAAAACCATCAGATGAAGAATTGGATATGTTAGATTTAGCATATAATTTAACTGACACGTAAGCATCCAATTTTTGAAACTTTAGTGTATAGTTTTAATGATTTATAATTATGTACAGTTCTATAATTGATTGGGTCCATCCAAAATATATATATATATATATATATGTATTTTTAAAATAGCTGTTTATTTGATTTTATACAATTACCTTCAAATACTATATAAATAATTGATAATAAATGAATTGATAATATTAGAATAAAAATGTTGAACAATGTTCTTTAAAAATAAGTATTCTATATAGTAGAAGCCATTTGTAATGACACGAGTGATTACAAAACTGATATACTAACCTTAAATTGAAGGTCCCGGCAAAACTCCATTTTGTGTACTAATTTGTATCAATTATTATGATGTCTGTATACTAACTATATGTATAATATGATGGTTATTTTGGCTGTATTAGAAAAATGTTTTATCTATAATGACTGTATTATATTTATCGATTATAACATTTATTTTTAGTTATACACATTGGAAAAATATTTTATTAATTATAACTATATTGAAGGTAAAGTAATCGTTTTTTGGAATTTTGTCATCAGTGTACAGACATTCCGTGTTCATGTATTTCATCGTAATCGTCATGCAATTAATTGTGTTTTCTATAAATGGTATGTTGAATTGTAATAAAATGAGCAAACAAAAGCAATTCACAATTTAAAAAAAAAGCAAATTTAATTTTTCATTTAAAAGAAGGTGAACAAAATGACGATATAGCTATTATAGCTTATAATTATGATTTTTATACAAATAAATTACAAACTAAGTGAATAGATTTTTTGTGTGTATTGAAGTCATAATTTAGTAATAAAAATGTAAAAAATTAAAGTGTATAGTTAAAAGCTTAAAACTAATAATAATTTGTGATAAGTACCCATTTTCAATTTTGTTATTAAAAATAATGAATTATGTTAAATACTATATTTTTAAAACTGGTTTGTTCTAACAAACATATTTGATTTCATAATTTATAAATTGAATTTCTTTGGTGATAATATTGATATTGTATTATTATTAAATAAAATATATGACATTCTATTGATATATTTTGTCTTAAGAACCTATAGAATTTAATCATACTGATTAATTTAACTTACTAATTATACAGGATATGTTTTTGTGTATGTTATGTATTTATATTAAATATCTACAATATATTTTATTGAACCAACCAAAATTGATATGGATTTAATTGTCTCCATACATACATTTGTATTTTCTATTGTACTACATGAATATGTATTACAATTTTTAATACATTTTCTTAAACTTTCTATAATTATATCTATATTATGTGGGAGTGTAACAAACTTTAAAACATGGTATGGTTTTAATATTATATTTAATATTTACATACTATTCTATTATAATATACCCTATCTAGTTATTTTAGTTTTTAATTTTCATTATAAAACTAATTTGTTAGTTAATTATTACTTATTAGCTATTGTACAATGGCTAAAAGTTGGTTTGTGAAATTTTTAATTATTAATTTATACGTTTATTCATTTCATAAACATACAAAAAAAAATTGTATACATAAACTTTTATTGCAAACTGTAGTTAGCTAAATTCATTGTAATATTTAGTAAAACAGTTTTTGAAATAAATAACAATATTATGCATACATAATTTACTCTTATTTCAATTTGATAAACTGGAACTTGAACTTAAATTAGTTCATTTTAAAAAGAACTTTCCCATAACTGGGTTTTAATAATACTAGTGATTGAAATTATTTCTAAAATTACTTATAGACATCTTGTGCATTAAACTTTGAATAATATGCATCTTTAATATTTAAACTAAAAATTATACTTTATTATTTTAACATAAAAATCTAATAATTAATTAACACTAGTTTTGAAATTATTTTGTTTCAGATCTCGATTAGGATGTCAAATTGTTTTAGAAGAAAAATTAGATGGTTTAGAAGTCAATGTACCAGCAACAGTTAATGATGCTAGGTATAATTAATATAGTACTTATTGAATAAGTTTAATAATACATAAGGTACCTAGCTTTAGAGAGTTATTGGTTTTAAAATTTAAGGTCTATATAATTTTAATCTGAACTAAAATAATATTAATAAAATGCATTAATCATAAGTGTTATTTTTTTAATAGTTTAGTACTTCAATCATTTCCATGGGTTAGGTTAGGTTAGTTTACTTGTGAAGTTTATAACGAGTCAAATTAAGTTTTTATTTTCAGCAATTTTTTATCTTAAAGTAGTAAGTCACTCTAACCCAGAGGTTCCCAACGAGAGTGCCGCAGCATCCTAGGGTGCCACGAAATTATTTGAAATATATATATATATATATATTTTTAAACAAATTCTTGAAAACTATAACACTGTGAGTAATAAAACAGAATATAGTAATATTACAATATTCAATCTATTTTAATTAATTTTCATACTGGTTCGATTGCTATAGTTAATGTTCAATGTAATAATTTGTTTTATAAAATATAATATGTGTATACCAGATATCTTCCACTTTTATTTATACTAAGGCACTTAGCTAGATAAAACCGAAGTTACAAAATATAAATTTCAATACACGATATATTAGTATTGCGTATTCAGTATAGAGTGTAGGCCATATGGTGCCTCTAGATTTTTAGAAAATAATTAAGGGTGCCGTGAAACAAAAACGGTTGGAAACCTCTGCCCTAACCTTTTGACTTTAACAGTATGTAAATATGAATATTAAAGAATGTGTTTGGGAATTGTAGAATGGTAGATGAATATTGAATTGAATATTTATTATATATACTAATAATTTAATTCAAACTTAGTTATTACATGATCAATCTTTTATATTGTTAATCTAAACTCTAACATGTTAATAATTTATCGAAAAGAATATTAATATAATTGTGTTAAAACCACATAATTTTTAATATAAAATCAAATTGTTTGAGTTATTCAATATTTATTTTCAAATCAAAAAAATAAATTATTTCTAATGTTTAATAATTTATGGGTAAAAAATTAAATTGATTTAACAGGAATAATAAAAGTAATTGAAAAAGTTCAGAACTAATTCGGAATTCCTAAGATTAATATGAAAATTTTTAATAATTGTGTAATCACAGATCATCATTGTGAACCCCTTAGAAGACTTGTAAATATTAACTCTTTAAGTTCAAGTCGTGTATATTATGACATCATATTTATTTAAAATATCTTAAATGGCAAAATAAAAGACAGTTTTCATCTCAGTTTAATTAATATATCAGTTTCCACATTTAATTCCAGAAACTGGCCAACATTTCATATTTCCAGGCACAAAACATTTTACGGTTTTTTTCCCTCCTGTAATATAATTGTATATACTGTATTTGATATTTTTTATTCCTCTTAGAGAGCATTACAAATTAGCATATTATTGTTTTAACTATTTCTTTCTTTAATATATTGTTTACTTGACTAAACTTGAGCACTAACAGTCATTTAATTTTATGCATATTCTGCTACCCATCCATACATGCTTCTTTTCAAACTGGTTTAAGTATCTTATTTCCTGTACTATATGCCTTCGATTTTGTATTTCAAATAAATAAAATAAAATAAACAATAATATAATCAAATTTATTAACAGTCAAGAGTGGACTAATATTCATAGCCCTATTGTGCTGTCGATGACCAGAACAGATACTTTAGGTTATATGTTTTCAATGGTACCCAACAGATGACAATTATAGTTTACCTAATTATTTCAAGGGTTAGGTTTAGTTTGTCATTCAATTTTTACAAGTACTAGGTCATACTGATATCACAGAAAATTAATTCACCGACTAACTAGCAAAATCCTCGACAGGAGTTCAAAAATTCTATGGTTTAACTTTATCCCAAACCATAGAATCTATAATCAAACTATACCTTGAACACTATGAATCTCTTCTCAATTTATCACTTTGCACATCTCCCGCCGTCTCACTATCAACTTGATTTTATAACCTCAATCTCTCCAGAAGCATAGTATTATCCTCTTATCTTTGCTTTGACCACACTTTACTTCCTTCTCATTCTTTTAAACTTTCATTGAACAATGCCCCCCTCTGCATAAAAAACAGGATCTTTTGTTACTGTTTGTTTTAATTTAATTTTTTTTTATGTTATGTGATGATGGCCCATACCCCACACTAGCAATAATATATTTCATTATATTGTTATGTAATATAACTCCTGGCTTATTAATTTAACTATTTATTTTTATCTAAATATTAAACTTTGTTTATATTTTATAACAATTTTTAAATGAACTAAATTAGTAGTTACAATTAACTTATATTCTGTTCAAAATTACAACTAATTATAAGTTATAATTTTACTTATATCATGTATTTTTGTACACTTTTTTTTACTTACATATGTAAATTAAATACTTTTCTTAAATTTAGTTCAATTTATTTATTATTTAAATATATAAAATAAGAAAATCAATGACAATATTTTATAAATATTATATAGTTATGTGCATACATTACTAGAATAAATAATATATGTTATCAACGATATCATATTATTTTGTTGTAACTATGCAACACAAATTTAAAGACAATTTAGTTGATGATATTTATATTTTAAGCAAAAACTTTTGATCGGACATATTTTTTATACATAGATTGTTTGTAATACATATTTAAATATTTTTATTTCAGAGACTAAAATAATGTATGTGATATTACATTTAGTTATAGATGTTATATATATATGGAATGTATACATGGTTGTTACAAGTAAATATGTCATATGGTATGTATAATAAATTATCAATCAAATTTAAATTATTTTAGTTAAAACACTTTTGCATTGCCTGTAAAATGTAAATTTGATATAATCAAACTATTGTACTATCTAGTTAAACATTGTAATTACCTCATGTAAATCTGTGGCAGCTAATTTGCAGTCAAGTTGTTACTCAAATTGTTATACTTAATTAGTTTAGGTTTAGTTTTATTTAACCTATTAATTTCTGTTTTTCTGGATAATCTAATTTAACCTTGGCAAGAGTTGATGAAAGCCCAAGATGTATAAAAGTGTATTATTAATTAATTACATATTTCAATATCTAAACATTGAATAAAAATTAACTTTTTTTGTAAATGCCAGGTTTTATATAATATTTACTGTTAAATAATATTTACTTAGAACATCACATTGTCCACATTGTTTTAAATTTAATTTACAATATTTGCATGTAATATAGTATGTTTTTGGTTTTACATGATTATTAGCCACTATTTCCCTCCAATTTGGATAAATTGTATTCATGTTATGAAGTCTTGAATTTTGTAATTTTTAAGAGTAATTCTTTCAAACTCCATTGAACCAGGTTTCCAGTAAATTGTATTTATTTATTAAATAGTTTAACATTCAGAGCAAAGCTATACAGATTTTGTTTCTTCAAAATCTTGTTGACTTATTTAAATTTGTTCAATTTTATTTTGTGCGTGTGTTAAGATAGTTAAGTAAAATTTTCATTAATTTTAGTTTTTACTCATATAGTTCTAAGTCGAAAGAATTTAAAATTATAGTTATTAATAATATATTATAGTATTATAACTAAAGCGCAGGTTTATATGCATTAAAAACCAACTAAATATGCATAAATATATGCAATAAAATGTTAAAATTTTCATAACAAAATAAGCAAAACAATTTATTTTTTTGAACATTAAATTTAAAAGTATGGAATCCTACTATAAATACTTTTCTTAATTTTTTTCTTCACTTTCATAATTTTGTAGGTACTTTTTATATATATATTGATGATTTATCTTACGGCATGTTGATAAAAATAAAGTAATAAACACGCAAATTACAACACAAAGCACACACGAACACACAGTAAATATTTTAATGAGACTGAAATAATGTCAATGGTTAATAATCATAATTGATATTTTCTTATCTTGGTACATGTATTTTATTAAACCGATTATTGATCTACGGTCATATTTTGGAAAACCGTTTATACCTACAAGTGTACCTATTAATTTATTTTGATATTAATCGGAACTATAAAAATATAATTTTTTTTTTTTCTTATATTACAATAGTATAAATTTCAAAAACATTAAAAAAAATATCAAAATATGCAATTCAAATAGAAAATATTGGTAAATATCAAAGTATGCAAAAATATGCACTAAAAAAATTGTGTCATAAAACATATTTTGTTTATACTTAGCATGTCATACAATCAACCAAAATAAATATGCAAATGCATCCAATTCTGTACTCTAGTTGAACTATTATTATATAGATGAGAATGTGATATAAATTTAAAAATCCTGTTTTTAAAATAAAATATAATCTTGTTTATTGTACAACAAATACTAGTGATGTTATGAACTCTTCGAATTTCTAACTGAAAATTAACAATAATTTTCAATAGTTGGGTTTTATTTTGAAGAAATGGGATACAAAAATACCCGTACTATTATTACTATTACTAATTATAATATTAAATTTTATTGTTGATTATTTTATAAGGTAATCTTTATCCAATAATTCTGTATTATGATGGCAAAACAATAAATACAATAATTAAAAGGTATATCAGTTTAATATTCTTGTGAAATTTATAATATTAAAATAATATTTATAACTATTGCTTCATGCATTAGATGTATATATTTTTTTTTAAACTGCCATCAGATCACAGAATGAGGTTTATTATGTTAATGTTTTTCTGAATAATGCCTAATAAGTATTTTTTTTTTTTTTTTTAATTATTGTACAGTTTTAAATATAATTAAATTGAACAAATGTAGGCTGGGGGCAGACTAACTATGTCACAGACCAGTCCGCAGTTTTAAAACTTAAGGCTGAGAGCTAACTTTGACCTATTTAAGCAAAATAGGATAATACATTTTTTTTATAAAAAAAAAAAAAGTAGTATTATCTAACTATAATAAATAAAAATCTGATTCCGGATATTTTTATATTGTTACTATTACAAGCACTTGTTTAAGAAAGGCAAATAGGTGATTGCCCTCTCTGGATTTTGTTATTAGTTCCAACTTACCATAAGTAGTTGCTACGCTCCTTATACAACATACAGGATAGTGTTAATGAGTAAGAAAACTGAAAAGATATAAGATACAGGGTAATTTGGTTTATGAATTGAAAGATTACACTAAGAATCCCCTCTTAATGAAGCCAAAATTGAAATATAAGTGCCAAAAATTAAAATTATTTTATAAAAACCATTGTTAACATTGCAATTTTAATCATATACTAATTGACCATAAAATTGATTGATCATCTAGTTTCAAAAAATCTGCTAAGACTGCGCAAGGGACTTATAAAGGTAGGACTCCCATACTTTGCATTATACGTTTGTTTTTCTGGAAGCAAAAAAAAAAGCTTATCTCTGCATTCGAGTAATAATAAAAAAAAATAACGAAATTACTACTGTACATTTGTTAGTAATATTTTTGCTGTTTATACACATATTATTCAGTGTTTAGGGTTTACAACTTATCATATAAGAAGAGATATACATTTTTGTCCAACAGGCCAAATTCTAGTGTGGATGACAGGCCAATCCACGTTTGCTGATCAGCAGACCTGCTCAGTCCCCTCCTGTATGTAGGTACTAGCGGGTACATTTTTCTTATATTTATATTATTAACAAAATAACAAAATATATAAAAAAAAATTACAATGTTATCATTGACATCAATAATCTATTATCATTATTAATAATTAGTGTAAAATTATCTACAAATGTATTACCTTAATATTATACTAGAATAACAACTTATAAACACTTGACAAAAATTGATTTAAAATTTCACTATGAATATTAATTGTGCTTTATTTGAGTGCTAAGAATGATTTAAAAAAAAATTCAACTTTTAATTATCACTGTTTTCAATACTAAACAATTTAACAGTAATAATTTGTACCTATCCCATACCAATTATTTAAAAATAATTCCTGGAAAACAAATTTACTAAAACAAGATAAATAATAATTTTGTAGGTACCTACCTCGTTTTTAAATATTCATTTTACTAACTGTAATCTTAGGATTTATGAGAGTTGGGAGAGTAAGGTTCTTCATGCATTGATTTTTATAGATTTTTAAATTGTAAGTTGATAAATACAAAATTTTAAAAAAAAAATTGAGCAATAAAAAGTTAACTCTAATTTTTAGTTTTCTATTATTAGCTTAGCCACATGTTCTTTTTTAATTTTCCTAAAATAATTAAAATAAACAAGAGTAAAATGACATACATAAACATTATTATGGATCCTGTAATAATCGATGGATGTTCTAATGTCCAGCCTTTTAATGCTATGTTGGTCATCGTATTTCCTGCTAAACGAATTGGTAGTACCATGGACACTTTCCTTAATAAATAATACTGTCCTTCCACAGGCCATAAAATACCTAAATAAAATAAATAATTTTAAAAAAAATGACTTAAAAATTGAATGTGAACAATAATTTGCATTTTTAATTAACTTTTAAATTGGCATAACGTTAGTTATATTATGTGGTCAAGTAAATATAATAGTACCTTAATATCTGGATTCAATTAATCCAAAATTAAGTAGGTACCTACTTATCTGGTGCCAAAATCTTCAGAAGAAAACTATCCAATTTACAAAACTATTTACAGACAGTACCTAATAAAAATTACCCATGTTTAAAATATTATTTGATTTTTTTTTAAATTTTAAGTCTAAGTTTAAAGAAAGGTATCCCCAACACTTAATTCATTATTGTTCAGTATCAATATTAGATTCACTCTGGTTCCAAGAAATCTATTAGAGTTTATTTTATAATAGACTTTCTTTTTTAGTTTTGGCATTGATTAAAAAATATAGTATATTTTATAGTTTAGTTTATTATAAAATCAATTGTTCTCTGGAATAGTAAACATTTCCAAATGAAAATTTAAAATTTAGATGTAATTAGAATTATACATGTGAAAAAAAAAATTAAATGAATGTATTGTTTTTATTGATCCAAGTACGTAACATAATTGGATAATAATGAAAAATGTTTTAAAATTAATACAATTGATAGGTAGATACCAATAAATAAAAAAAAATTAATTCTAGATATACTTATATAATATGGTTATAACAAATCAATTAAAGATCCTACAGAAAAATGATACAATACATTATTTCTTATTTTAATATTCTGAGAATCATCCCATCTCACACTTGATTGTCTATTCTTTTTTGTTGCTTGGGCCTTTCCAAAGATTTTTTCCACACAGATTCTACTCAAATATCCAACTTGTATTAGCTCTTTTTGATTCCTCCAACTAATGTCATACTCTTTAACTTATTCATCTTATTAAAATACCTCTATTATACTTGAACTTCGAATTGCATGATCTTCATATTTCCTCCTCCACTCTCCACTATAATTAATTAATATTTCATTGACCCTTGATCGTTCCTTTTTTGTATCTATTTTAGATTTTCTTAGTAGCCGTATTTCTACTGCATAAAAGATTATTATGACATATGAAGGCAATATGAGGTAATTTTAATACTTACCTACTATTGAGTACCTACTATTGAATGACTTTTTCCAAATCATATACCTACCTACAGTAATATGTCTTAATACCTATACCTATTTGTAAATGCCTTTTAAGTGCTATTCAATATTTTCTTTATTATAATAATGTATTATTATTGTTGTTATTAGAGGATCTTGTAATAATGTATAACCTGACAGTTATTATTGTGCCCGAGTATGTATAGGTATAGTTATTACAATACTTTACCACACAGAATATAGTGTTCGGCATTCATAATCAATTAAGTTTGCATTAATCGCTGTCACGTGCAGTGAAAGAATGCTGAAGGAATGACCTCAGTTAGTATCTTGCAACTTTCACTCTGAAGTGTTAGGTTTGTTCGAATTTTTTACAATGAATATTTTTATTTGTTTATGTTTTATCATTATAAAACCAGTATGATTTCTGAAATTGGCCGAGATCTATACCAGAGTCGCTTGGTATCCCAATTTAAAGGCGTATACCAACAAAGCTTCAATTGTTAGTTTTTATTAAGAAACCGATTTAAATTACCAAAATCTTTAAAACCATTAAAAATATAAAATCACAGTACCTATCATTATTGATGTATGCATCAGTTAAATTAATCAATAATTTAATTTTTTTCCTGGAATACACAACAAATTATAAATATGATAATTGACAAATACAAGTATAGATGGAAAAAAATCCTGTACCTATTATATTAAATATAAACAAAAAATTATTTAATCAAATTGATACTGCTAGGATTTTTTTGGGGGAGAGGAGGTCCAAACATAAAACTTATCACCAAACACCAATAATCTGATTTTTTGGTGAGAAGATTAAGTTTCGGGGAGGGGAGTGTCCAGACCCCATGACCCCTGGCTACGTGCCTGGAGAAGGCAACATATAATACAAGGTAATTTAGTTTATATACCTACCTAGACGCTAGATTTTATATGGATATTTAATTATTGCATACACCTACCTTTTTAAGTACCTATATCTATATAACAACTTTAAATTAATTTCTTTACTAAAAAAGTCACTTTCGAACTTCAATTATCTAATAGAGAATATATTAATGAAATTCAACCTTGAACACGAAATGTTTTTATTAGATATGACGTCAATGTTGCGAATGCCGCTGTATCCAATATACCTACCTACATCGAAATAGCAAAACCGGCTCATACGTAGACTGAATTTAAAATATTATCTTAAGCAAAGTACTAGACTTAATATAAAAAATACCAAATATATAGACTTTACTAATCTTGTTCTTTATACCAACAAAAGTAAAATTATTTCTAAAAACTAAGTACTTAGGTACCTAATACTGATAACAAAATCTAGTAGTAACATAAAATATAGAATCTATTTGGATTTATTGAACCCAAATTTCCAGTATTTCAGGGATATATAATTATACTTACCTACTTACGTTTACTCACTTCTCCCTCATCCACCGATATATATCAATACTTAACTTGTTCAATTAAAAAACCGAAACATACCGACTATAGTTAAAATATAATTAACATAAGTGTAAACGCTTTCACTCTCAACTAAAAACACACAAACTTATTCGTTATTACCTAATCAATGATAAAAAAATAACTATGTTAGATATGTTATACTCTGCACAGAAACTCAAATTCAAATGGTCATGTTGATATCCTTCTTTAAGATGCTTAATTACCTAGCTTAAAAATACGAAAGTGTTGTCAATGGGTTATACTAGTTACTACTATTCCTTTTAAAAATATCTCCACTTTTATTTAAGTTTTCTAAGGTATTTATTCATAGTATTAATGTATACTATATACCTACTTATGTAATAAATTTAATATTCCTACAATAATAATAAAACAGCTATTACCTATATGGAACTCAAGTATATTTTATAGAATAAACCCACAAAATTTTTTTTTTATTTTAATTTACCCCGACCATTGTCCTTTGTAACTATGTGGTTATGTATTCATTAAGTATCGAAGTAGGTATGTATAATATAAATAAAACATATTTTTTCACTTTATACGGGTAGACAGGCTGTTGTTTTTTCAGAAGAAAATGTATCATTATAAATATTAAAAATACTTAACAGAAGTTATTATTTATATTACCTATTTGTAATAAACTAATAAATTATGAAACAAAATTAAGATATTTTAAACGCCTGCAATAGATTAAAATTTAACAATATTGGAATAGGTAAATAATTAGCATTATAGGATAATTTTCTTTTATAACAAACGTGTATTTACATACCTGGCAATATGAACTGGGTCAGAGACACGCCGGTTAGAAGGAAAATATTAGTTAATTGTGTTTTCGATATAATAGCAATAAATATCCCTAAAACAAAATATTAAACAAATGTATAGTATGAAAACATGAAATAAACGGCATTTTAAACTATAAATTAAAAAAGCTGATAATAGGGAAGGATGCAGCCACTGTTGTAGGTGGGAAGTTGGGAAGGTAGGATACATAAGGTTAGGTTATGTCATTTATATCTGTAAGCAACGATAAACCATTACTGACGAAAGACGATTTCGAGCGCAGTTCGGTAATAAATAATTTGAAGTGTTGTAATGTTTTTTGCGATTTTCGTTTAAATTTAATTTCAAAACGCTTATTAAAAAAAAAATCCACAAAAATATGTTCTCTTTCCGTTTTTCAATTGGAGCCATATTTATGTTAGAAAACGTGGTAGGTACTTATTTAAAATAGCGAAATTGTGAAAAAATTGTTTTTTTTTCCCGACTTTTCGTTTCGAAAATCAAAAAATTACCTATGTATTTACCGAGTAGATAAAAATGACTTTCAGAAAAGGTGCTACACTTATACATCGGAGCAAGTTTTCTAGGATTAAAGTGGTTTACAGTATATACACAAAAAATATAAAGTACCATTGTAAACAAATTTTAAAAATATCGTCTGATGATTTTGGAAATTTTACTACGTCTAGTTAAGTCCAATTTAAGTATTATTACCAAGTTTCAAGTCTCTACGTGTATTTATAACCGAATTACAGCAAAAAGCTTCCAAAAATTAAAATTCCTTAAAACCTCAAAAGTGACTCAAAAGTTTTGGCGATGATACCGTAAGAAAGTAAATTAAAAAAGCAACAAAAAATGTATTATGTGATTTTTCGATTAAATCATTTTTTCTGGTCGTCCGTGTTTTTATAAAATAATGAAATCGTGAAATTGTACGTTTTCCTACGTTTTTTTCCCACTTAAGTGCTTTTATTTTAAAAATTGCTTCAAAAATCAAAAAAAGACTTTTTTTAAATACAATCTAGATAACTTGAGCTTTCAGAAAAGTTGCGGTTCGTAAAGATCGGGGCAAGTTTACCATTATGTGGAAAAAACGTGTCCACAGACTAGAATAAAGAACAAAAATATAAACAGCATTGTAAAACCAATATCTCTCTCGCTAAGCTCGAAATCTAAAAGACGGACATGCTTTGTACAATGGATGAGTCACTATTGTAGGTGAGAAGTTGGGAAGATAGGTTATAGAGGAGAATTTAATATATGTATATCTGTGAGCAAAAATTAATCATTGCTAACGAAAAAAGATTCTTAACGGAGTTCGGTTACGAGTATACATGTTTTGAAAGACCGTAATATTTACGATTTTCATAAAAATTTGATATTACAGTTCTTATGAAAAAAAATATTATATTAAACCATTGTTTTTTTTTTTTTTGATACGAATGATAATGAAATTCCTGTTGAATTCTCAAGCATTTCTATTTGGTCAAACAATTTATCCACAGAGTAGGTACCTACCAAATAAGAGTTACGTAAGAAACTTACAAAATTAAAATTTTTATAAATAGCTCAAATTTTTTGAAAATTGTACACACGTAATTTTAAATAACATTTTAATTATTTTAAACACACATTATAGTAAAACCAATTAGTAGACCCTTGCTACGCACCAAATCTAAAAAATAAACACCATTGTAAAATCAATGCATTCTTCACTTAGCTCAGAATTGAGCTAACCCAAAATAGCTGAGATAAAAAAGAAGAGTAAGAAGATTGACTATATCAAATGAAGTTTGTTTAATTAACTGACATTTTGTATTGTGAACCTAACCCAAATAAATAAGAGTGAAATGTTATCTGAATAAAATATTTAAATATCAATATTACAGATATTATCGAAATATTAGTATAGATAGGTAGGTGATTATTATCGGTATCAGTAAATATATAAAATATTCTTATTAATTTGAAACTCGTATAATGACAAACAGTTTGAATATTTTTAAATAACGTATAACCACTAGATTAGATTTTGTAAATAAGCATAATTTATCCTGTTAATACGCCTAATCTATTTATTATATGCGTAAAAACAAAATTTTGATTGGCTGACTCGTGCGTGTACTATAGAGTAGAGTTACCTACTATAAACAAGACTTAGCTAAAGTTTAATATATTATAAGGTCAGGTATGGGTCATCTTAAAAGAAACATAATATTAAATTGAGCACTTGAGCTCATTGAGCAGCCTAAAACTTAAAAAGTGAGGTCTAAAAAGAGTTCATGTGTAAAAATAAAGATACAAACATACTTCGCACTCTTGTAGGTGAGAAATTTGAAAGGTAGTAGATGGAAAATTTAATGTATATCTGTACGCAACGATTAACCATTGCTAGTGTAAAACGATTCTAAACGGAGTTCGATTTATAGTGTTGTTTTGTAAATTGTTTTATTTACGAATTTCATCGAATTTCCTTTCAGATAAGGTGCTACACTTAATCGAAGCAAGATTTCTAGTAGAAAAGTTACGCACAGATGTAAAAAATAAAAAATAAATAAACATCTTTGTAAAACCATAAGCTTCTTTGCTCTACTCAGAATGTAAAAGTAGATGTATATCATAGAAAATTGTGAATTCAATGACATTGATAGGTGGTTAATTAAGTTCTAAGTATTATATACATGTATAATAGACCTTTGTAAAACATGAAACATTCAGCGATTTTGTTAACTTATTTTATACCTAAATTAGATAACGCAAATAAAAAATAATGATTTTTTTAAATAAAATTACAAAAAACTTACCAATGAAATATCCTACCCATCCCAAAAATGACAGAACTAACACATACGTAAACAAACCACTGGTTATTTGTACTGGATTCGAATAGTATCCAAACAAAATAAAACAGCTAACAATTATTTGAATCAATTGTATAATTGTGCTTATAAAAAACAAGGATAATACACATTCCGGTAAGTTGACACCTAGAATCATAGATTTTAACCTATTAGAACTACGTCTAATATAAATTGTTACCATATAAAGCCAATAATTTATTTGATGATTACCCGCAAATATGGATCGCCTAAGACTTCCTTCCAATTTTTCGGAGATCATTATGTTTCCTGATGTTATACTAGAAATATAAAATACGGACCTAAAATTTAAAAAAAAATCAGTTAAAATTCCGAGATATAGTTTCTTATCCACTGTTAGATAAATTTAGAAGCAAAAATATGAAATTATTTTATGAATTAATTATAATTATTTTAAAGAAAAGCAGAGATGATATTATTTTTAAAGTTATGCTTGTATTAAAGTTTGGTTAGAATCTTTGAATTTGAATGTTCTAATATAAAAATAAAATCAAATTAAGCTACTGATTATTATTTTGTTATAAATATAAAATAATATAATTACAATGCTATAAAAAGATGAACGATACTATTTGCAAGTGATTTTACTTCATTGCCATATAAATTCTTGAATTTCTGAAAAATAAATTTATTAATTAAAAAAAAAAAAAAATGTGAAATAATACATCAGGAGACGTTTATTTTTATAATAAATGTTCCTATTTATTAATTTTGTATAATACTAATTTTATATATATTATACTAGCTGTCTTGCGCCCGACGTTGTTCGTGACAATTTTTATTATTATTATTTTACCCAAATTCATTTTTAGTTTTGGCCGTGTCAGAATTGAATGAAAACAAATAAATGAAAAGTGGGTAGTCCACCTTCCGTGGAATAAATATATTATTTTATTGTGAAATTTTAATAGTGTAAAAAATAGTAATAATTATTATTATAATAGTTTTCTTTTCCGCAATACCCTTGAATAAACAAAAATAAATAAATAAGCAATTAGATATTCAAACCAAATGTACCTAAAAACTCTTATTTTACCCCCTTAGAGGTTGAATTTTCAAAAGTCCTTTCTTAGCGGATGCCTACGTCATAATAGCTATCTGTGTGCCAAATTAAATTTCAGCCCGATTTGTTCAGTGGTTTGGGCTAGGCGATAATAAATTAGCCAGTTAGTCAGTCAGGGCATGTTATTTTAAATATATATATTAATATTTAGTTATGTTTAAAATATATATATTGCATGTTATTTTTTATTTTAAAGTATTAACCGCTTAAATATTTTTAAGTCATAATAATATGTTCACTGTTATAATTTCCGTCAATAAATTATGATATTTACCTAAATCGATACACAGAATTCATGTAATTATATCACTTAATTTATTTTTGAAAAAAAAAGATAGTTATTAAATGACTAAATAGATTTTTTATTGATTTGTCAATATTTTCTGTAACGCATGTACAGTTCTACAGAATATAATGATTAAATAGTATAATAATATCGTATTTGGTAATGATTTTTTTAATGGTGATAAGAAAATATTTTTTTTATGTAGTTACCTTCCAAAAGATGTAGGTTTAGACTAACGGTTATCCCTCTTGAATTTTAAATTTTACAGGTTGATATTATATTTTCGGTTATAAAATTGTAAATTCTAAACTCCGTTTTTGCCATACCTAACCATATAGGTATGTGTACTATACACTTGTATGTTTATAAAAATATAAATAAATTACCATGGGAATAGTAGGTGGTTTTTTGGAGTTCAGAAGCATATTAATTCAAGGGCCCCTCAATTATAATAATATGATATGGCAAAAAAAAACATACTCGCCGAGATTTACAAAATGTTAGCAAACGGAATTTTCCAAACCTCAACCAATCAAGGTTGATTAAATTCAAATTCTGCCGTCTTTATGTATTTTCAATACATTTTTAGAAATATGTCACCACATTTACTAAAAGTAAAATGTACTCCTAGATAGTCATGGGAAATTTATAGGAAGTNTAAAATATATTCAACTGAAATAAAAATTACTTGTTTGATAATAAAGTAATAAATTTTATTAATTAGGTACAAGAATTATAAGATATTATAATATCACAGTCATTATAACTAATAATGAATAATGTTATACATAGTAATGAGTGATAAATTGAATTATTAATTATGATATAAATTATACACTAAAACATAAAATCATAGCCATACATGTTAAAATAATTATATTACTTATAATAGGTAATGTATATACTAAAATACATATTTAAAAATGTGTTCCTTTTACAATAAAATAACAAAGGTATACTCGTATATACTTTTTATAAGTATACACTGTTTTATATCATAATCATAAAAATTGTCATTTTGATGATTTTAACAAATTCAAAGTAATATAATAAATAATTATAGTAGTAATATTTGTTTTACATAAATATGTTACATTACACAACAAAGTTAATATAATTAAATTAAAGTTTACCAAAATACTAAAAATAAAAATCATACTAGTTAACTATCAACTAATTCAACTAATCAACCATCATATGAGAATTTTAAAATTTGTTGAAAAAAATATTAGTTGTTCGGCATGTTCCGCTGACAATGATATACGTTTATCAGTAATTTCGTTACCTCCATAACTGAACAATCTTTCAAAAGGTACGCTAGTGCCTTGTATACATAAATATTTTCTTGATAATGAAAATAAATTCGGAAACTCTGATTTATATATTTTCCACCAAGTAAGAGGGTCTGAATCTAGGTCTGCTTTGGAAATTTGAATATATTTTTCGATTTCCGCCTCAAAAATATTTTGGTCATTTTATGTTGATTCAGAACGTACATTTTTGCTTAAAAATAAAGCTATACCTATAAATTGTACAAAATGTTTCATTATAGTTATGTGTCAAATAAAATTTTTTTTAAATATTATAAACTTACCAGAATAACGTTTTTTTTTCCGATGAAAGCGATTTATTTTTATTTATTTCTCCTGATTGATCTCCAGATTAGTTGAGAAGATAATCATTAACAAAATATTATGAATTTAGTGTTAGTAAGTTTGTTATGCGAAATATAGAAGAATCTAAAAACGATGCTAATTGTATCAATTGTTTTGTTTTAAAGTTTTCAAAGTAGCGTTTAGATAATTTTTCAAATATAGTGTCGTGTTTTATTTAATAATAATTTGGTTAAAACACATTATTGTAAGAAAAGGTTTTTTATTTAAATATTACGTTAATGATAAATCGACATGTTGTACGGACTACAGAGACGAGAGAGTAACTAACATAGAATAATATTACTTAACCTAACAAGTAACATGATAACAATACTACCACATAACCTAAACGGTTACATTGATAATATTATTAACATAATCAACTATTATCACATCTCTCTTCTTACAAGCTAATTAATAAAATAATATACTTAATTACAGAATATAATAAAACTTTAAATACTTGAAATATGAACAACATTACNTAAGGGGCGCATTAAACATTTTACTAAAATTGGGCCAAGGGAAAAATGATCTCGCTGTTTTTACTTCTAAACGGCCTACAGAAACAGTTTTATCTGGATCATCTCTTACAGACATATTGTAAAACTATTTATGTTTATATAACTACCTAATGTTATTCAGCTTATAATAATAAATTTGAAAATATATATTTATGTAATATGTATATATTTAGCCGAACTCACAATTGGTACACTGATTGATTTTGGATTACTGGCGCAACCAATTAAAGTTTGCTTTAACACATAGTTTATTGAGTTCAACACGTCCGTTTTAATTTGATTTCTGAACACAAAATCTGGAATGATAAATAATGTAAAACAACAACACTCATTTAAATCCAAATACTGCTAGTACTTACTATCCATAGTTAAACGGGCATAAGCTAAAGATTCACCATCTGAATCATTGTGACTATCGATGTATTTGGCCAAAGCTCTAGTATAGGCTTTCGGGAAATGTAGAAATGCCATGTAATTTGGATTATTCAAACTCAATTCACCAACCTCAAAATCATTTACTTCGATCTGAAATATGATTTGGCTATAATTTAAAAATCTATTGACTATAATTAATATTAAGATTAACTAATATTCCTGCAAAACATTAGATCACATTTATTGATTACATAAAAAACCAAACACGATATAAACTAATTTATTTAAAAGTTTAGGACCTACTAATTTATATCTATTAAGTGACACGAGGTAATTCACGACAACGCAACTCATCGTTAGATTGCTATTTTCATCGGCAATGCATCCATTAACATTAAAATTTCGGCAATCTAAATAATTAACCTCGTCATTTTTAATAGCTATTGACAAACCATTGATGTTTTGTCCAAAGGAAATACTAAAATTGTTATATTGTATCATGGGAAGGCATATCACAATAAAAAAAAACCTATAATTCGTAAAATTACATACATTTTAAAATCATCCAATTGTATTTTACAAACGTTATACTTACCATAAATCTCGATAACACATACGAAAATATTTTTTTGTCAGGGCTTTAATTCTATACAAATCAAAGTTATTCTCCGATTTCAGACGTGTATTATTTAGTTTTTTTTTTCGTTGGACGTAAACTTTCTTTTTACTAATCTAAAAATGTGCAATTTGTATTATGTACATGAAAAATTGTTTAAAAGAACACAACTTAGAATTTCAAAAATGTCAACACCAAAATTTATTTTATCTAATATTCCATCTATTTATGAAATGTTTAATACAGGTTCTCATTTAAAAAACAAAAGTTAGTATCGTCAACAGGATACTCCTTAAATTTTATTGTTAAAAATCTAAGTATACGAAAGTATAGTATTTAACAACCAACTCTTATTACTTATTGATCGTATAATAATACTTAGTATAAACAAGTAGTATTAATTTACCCATACGAATGAAGTAACTTTGTACATATAATAATAGTTGTACACATTTGTTATACCTATTTGGTTTTTTTTTTTTCAACGGCGAAATGGTAACTTGTCCTTGATTGATAAATAAGATACTGTAATTCAAATCAAAACCTTATTGAATATTTGAAAATAATTTAGCTTTTAACATGCATTTTTTATTTCAATTTAAATATCTAGGTAAATTGCCCAACTAGAGAGTTTTGTTCCGAATTGAATAATTATTAAATTTATAAATCTCCGTTAATTCGATTTATAAGAGATAGGACAAGTCGCCGTTACCATTTCACTATCGCCCGTTTCGCTGTAAAAGGGCACTTCGCCGATGTAAAAACCAAAATATCCTATTGATAAAACTAATCCAGGTCCAAATAAGTATTGTAAGATACAATTTGTACCTATAGTAAAAGCTATTATTTTTTAAAATGCATTAAGGTTTTAATTTGGATCTTCCTCAAAGTACCTATCTCATTCATGTTTTCATTAATTTGGTAGTTTCACTTGTATATAAAAAAAAATATCTGATCTTAAAAATAATTTGTATTTGTATAACATGTTTGTATACTTCGGATGCAACTGAAAACGGCAAAAACCGTACGGGATTTTTTATATAAGTACAATTAGTATAATTGCAATACTTTTTGCAAACATGCCGGATAATATAATCATAGTTTATAATGATATGATAAACTAGATAAGTAAACTAACTGCGATTTCATTAATGTAAGTACAGTATCGAACTTAAAACCACCAGCCTGTCGTTTAAATATAATTATACATAATATATTAATGAATGTATACTTCATTGGTTTCTTGACTGCAGCATAATGATAAAAAAGCTTCTTCCAATGTATTCCTACGGTATTTTGTAATAATATTCTGAGGTGATCCTTCTTCTACCAAAATTCCATTTCTGATTAAACCTATCTAAAATTTAATAAAATAAATAAAATATAATCGCTATACCTAGGCTTAAAATTATGTTAAATACCACTACAATAATATTGTTAATAATTATTGACGTATGATGTTCAACTTTTTAATCTTCTAGTTAAAGAACGATTTATTTTTAAAACTAAACCTACAGTGATTTTTTCAGATAATAATAACTCAAATATAAGTTTTCGTTGTGGACTAGGTAAAATATAATAAGTAATAACGAAAATTCAATAAATCTACAAACTTGTATTTTTACGTTTTATCGACAAAAAAAAAAAAATTAAAACTTACGCAATTAGCCTCATTTGCTTCCTCGATATAATGCGTAGTAATTATTATTGTTTTTTTAAGTTGTTTGGTCATTTTTATGAATTCAACCCAAATCCTAATTGCGTTTTACGCATAAGTAAAAATATATTAAATGCAATTAAATTAATATAATACGGCTTTAAATGGTAACTTACTTTTGTCTCAGTAAAACATCAATTCCTACAGTTGGTTCATCCAATATTATTAATTTTGGATCATGTATTAGGGCAACTGCTAATGATACTTGTTTGCTTTGTCCACCACTATATACATAGAAAAATTAAAATTTTTTTTATTACCTAGGTAGTAGGTAACACATTATTTTTAAATAAATCAATAATGCGTTGAGCAAATATACATAGGTATACTTAATACTCGAATCATTTATTTAAGTCAGCTTTGTTCATAAAAAAAAAAAAAAAATTGCAAACAATTAGATATATATTTATGTTTAGTAATATCTGATAAAGATAGACTCTATCTGATGGAGGAATAAATAAGAGTGTATTGCACTATTACATGTTTTGTCTATATGCCCGTGAATTTCAATTTAAAATTATTACATATACAGTTAATTAATGGCGGATTGAACGGTCGGACAATTCGGACATGCATGAACAGCCTCCCACCCATCTGATGAAACATAAAACAAACAATTGTCAATCACGGATTAAATACTATGCGATATTTTAATATATTGTACAATAAATAAGACACAGTATAGATACAAAAAATGTAGAATTTGCCGTTTATTTATTTTCTAAAAAAGAATTCCAAAAATCATTATAGAAATAATTAGTTATACTTATTTTAATATTTTATTTTGCATTTTTTTCCTTTTAAAGTAAATAAATAAAGTAAATATAAAATATAAAATACATTTTTAACTGAATTATTAATTTTCAAAAAATGAAAATTGAAATTAATAAAAGAATTATTTTCGTAAATTTTCCCGTTGTTTTTGCGTTTTTTTCGATTTTGCTTAATTATTAAAAAAACTACAAAAATCAAAAAACGACTTTTTTGGATACCGAATAGATTAAAAATGCAACAAAAAAGGTATCTTGCTGTTTTTATATTGGAGCAATATTCTGATAGAAAACATCATGCGTAAAAAATTCAAAATAGTGAAATCGTAATGCTGTAAATTTGTTAGTTTTTCGTCTTTTTCTGGTTTTTCCAATTATTATCAAAAAACGATTGTAAGGTTCTTTTCACATTATAAAGCCGAGTAACCACAACTCGTGTATTTGATGAATATTCGATGTTCATTGATATTCACCGAGTAGTGGAAACGGAGTACTTGTACGATATTCGGCATTCGTTTTTCGTTAATTGTCACTCGTTATCTCTCTGCGGATTGTCGGTATAAAAATGGCGAAGTGATAATAATCGTGGTATAAAATCCAATCGCGATTGCCGATTATTTAAATATTCGTGTATATTCGTCAAATACACGAGTCATGGGAACCCGGCTTTTACGGTTCTATACTGTTTTGACCGTACGGAAAAAACTGAACGGCCAAAATCCGAACGGAATTTGTTGAATTAGTTTACACGATTATTTATTTGAGTTCTTACATTATAGTTAATTGCTATAAAAATTATATAAGCATCTAAAGAAATGTATAACCTTTTTATACCTTAAATCAGTTATTTTTCTCTGTATTAATTTTATTCGTGCGAAATGAATAACACGCGTGTATTTTAGATACGGCCTGTCGGACGGTGTGATTTTATAATGTCATGAGTAAAACACGACCTAAATAGAAACAGTTATTGTCCGACAATTTTTAGACCACCAAAATTATTCTTTTAGCGCTATATTTTCATACAATTAAAACAATCTGTTTTTTTTTTTTTATTTGTTATACATATAAAATGTTTTAAGGCATATGTTGACATATTTTGACATTTTTCAATGCTTATTTCTTTGAAATGTTGGTTATTAAAACCTAATATTCCGTCCGGGCCTTTTTCCTTAAATCCACCACTGTAGTTAATTAACCATTATTATAATTCAATATTGGGTTTATATTAGTGCTGAGAAATATGTTTTCCAATCCGGATTCTCGGATTCAATCCGTCCATTTGTTTAAAATGGGCTTAAAAAGTATTAACTAGATAGTAGTTACCATTAAACGAAACAACTTGGAACAGTTAAATGGATATTATGTTATTAATAATTTAAATAAATGTTTTTTATTCAAATCCGAATTGATTATTATAATTGATCCGGATTTGATGCGCAACACTAATTTATATAAATAATAAAAATTGATTAATAAATTGAGATTTAATAACTTTTCGATTTTATTTTTTAATATAGGTGCTATATTGAAAATGTATTTTATTTGTATATACCATATCGATATCTATAATACTGCCGTCTTAAAAAAAACACAGTAAATCGAAAAAAAAATAATAGAATTATACTAGGAAAACGTGTAAAACTATAATATTCAACGTAATACAGTATAATCTTATTTTTTTTTTCGATTCTTGATGTTTTTTTTTAAGACAGCAGTATAGGGTAGGGTGAAATATTTAATATTAGGTCCCAACATTATAAATAGGGCCGTGATATACATGGATAAATATTTATACCTATAATAATTGTGCTCGTTGAATTCTATAATGACTAAGATCAAATTTACTTAAAATATTTTACCTTATTTCTTTGATGTAACTATTAATGTCAGGAAATTGAAGAAATTCGTTTAGTTCAGCTATTCTTGTCTTAATATTTTGATCACTCATTTTATAAATTCTTCCAAAATATTCAAATGTTTCTTTTATAGTCAATATTCCTTCCAGACATAAATCCTATAGGTAGTATAATTAGTTATTTGTTCAATTTATTGCATAGTAAGTACTTTAAAATTTACTTGAGGCATATACCCCACATCTTTCAGATATTTTGCTTTCAAATCAATACATCCAAAATCTAAGGTTTTTGTTCCCAAAATACATTCAAGAAGTGTTGATTTGCCACAACCACTGGGTCCTAAAAGGCCATATCTGTTTAAATAAAACATTAAAATGTAAACAAAATGTGCAATTAATATTAAATATACCTATAGTAGGTATATATTAACCACTCCATTACTCATCTTAAGTACTAAACATGAATAAAAATATAGGATATTTTATTTACTGTTGGGTGGCTGTATTAAAGTATAACTAATAACTATTAGGTACCTACATGGTTTGTTTAGAGTTACAACAGAGACACATCTATGAATGAATATATGTCACTATTGTTACTGTTTTAGGTTAACCGTCATAATAATTATTATATTTGCTCGTAATATGAATGTTAAAAATTGTCCTAATTAATTATTAACCACACGAAAAATAACTATTAAAGAGGTTGGAACACACCTACTTTTCATACTGTTTAAACTAATAAGCTGTGGGAAATTATACAAGCTTCCGATTTTAATTGGTATAGTATGTATGCATTTATTAAACAATTTTTTAGGATATTTAGAAAGTCGATTTTAAATTTTTAATTTTGAAGACCTTCACAGTTAAGATAGGTATTATTTTTAAAAAGTTTGAAAATTCTTAACGACAAATCAGTGCTTAATATTGTGTAGACTATAAGGAATGTTCCCCTTCAATTTTTATCCATATTTGAACTAAAATGTTTTTTTTTTATTTAAATTGTGTGCAACCGAATCACATTGTTTGTTTTAACAATAATTAAACTGGCATTTAGTGGGTGACTAAATAAAATATTTTCATCCCTGTGTAAAACAATACACAAATGCTTGTAAATTTAATAGGAAGTTCAAGTCCTACTTAGTGGTAACATTTTACGAAAATCATAAATATTACGGCCTTTCAAAACATATATATTATATAGCTGAACTTCGCTCTGAATCGTTTTTCGTTAGCAACAGCTTATCGCTTGTTAATAAATTGTTATAAATTGTTATAAATTGAATAACTTTATATTCTCATCTTTCCAACTACTCACCTACAACAATAGCCGTACCCATCCCGAGTATCAGCTCTTTTTTTATACTCTGTACAAAATTTCTACCAGAAAACTTGCTCCGATATATCAAGCGACGCATCTTTTTTTAAAAAAAATTGAATCTATTTGGTATTTTAGAGGTGTCATTTTTTGATTTTCCAAGTGGTTTTCATAATAATTGGAAAAAAAACCGAGAAAAACATTAGGATAAACGGACAAGTGCTTCAATCGAAAAATGACAAGAAATCTTTTTTGTTCTATTTGGATCTAGTTGCTTATGAAAAGTCATTTTTTGATTTTCCTAATAGTTTTCATAATAATTGATATAAACACAAGGTACATTATAAGTCGTAATTTGTAATAAAAAAAAAAAATGAGTATAATGTGATATTTTATTTTTATAAGAATTTTAATATCAAATTTTAACGAAAATCGTAAATATTACAGCCTTTCAACCTACTGTGTGTAACCAAACTTTGCTCCAAATCGTCTTTTATTAAAAATGGCTTATCGTTGCTAACTGATATAAATTACATAACTTAATGTATCCTGTCTTCTTTTATGGTTTTTCCAACTAATTGAAAAAACTCTTAGGAAAATCAAAAAATTAACTCCCCAGTCCGATTTCCTTTCAGAAAAAGTGATATTATTGAAAATCGAAGCATTATTGCTGGTAGAAAAACTATTCACAGAAAAAAAAAGACGGACATACTCGCGTGTGGGTGGGCAACTGTTGTATATGAGAAATTGGGAAGATAATTAAAGGGAAATTGAATGTATATCTGTAAGCAACAATATTATATATGTCATATTATGGTAAAATAATAATAAAGGCATTATATGTTTTCTTCAATAATATTCATTTAATATTGTACCTATTTTCTCGTTTTCCCTAAATTTTTCCCGTTTTTCATCTGTTTTTTTTTTCAGTTTTTCACATTTGATGAGAACTCTTGAGAAAATTAAAAAATAACCTCTTTAAAGTTCCTTCCAAGTACAATTTGTTTTCAGAAAATATGCTACCATTGTAAATAGGAGCAAGATTTCTGGTAGAAAAGTTGTCCAAAAAAAAATAAATAAACATCATTGTAAAACCATAAGCTTCTTCACTCTATTTAGAACCTAAAAAAGCACATGTCATATGTCATACTAAAATTCATAAGTGGCACTTGGCTATAATTCTAGAAGGAGGGGGGCAATAATTAATCACAATTTACGCATTTAAAATGTTTCTCTCATCTAACTAATCTAATGCATTCTACTAAACATTTTAGTTACCATTTAAATAAGAACAGATAATATTTTACATTCTGAATACAGTGAAGAATGTATTGGTTTTACAAAAATGTTTTATTTTTGTTTTCATCCATGTCACCAAAGTAAAGAGTATGAGACATGAATAAACAAAAGTAAATAAATAAACAATTAGATATTCTTACCGAAAATACCTAAAAACAATGTTCGTAGTGATCACTAATTTTTTTTAAATAAAATACAGCCCATGTTACTCGCTAATAATGTAGCTATTAGCAAATTTTAAATCATAAAATCATAACAGCAGTAGGCGGAATACATAAAGTTATTTTATTTATACCTGTAGCCAACGACAAACCATTTACAACGAAAAAAGATTCTGATCGAAGTTCGATAATACATATTTTGAAAAGTCATAATATTTACGATTGTCGTCAAAATTTGATTTTAAAACTTATTAAAAAAAAAAATACCTTAAGATCAATTTTTTTAACACTAGAATAAATGAAATTTAGAAACTTCCTGTTAAAAGGATTTCTATTTAGTCTGTCAATTTTATCCACAGCTAGAGTACCTACCGAATAAAAATTACGTACAAAACTCGCATAATTTAAATGTTTATAATTAACTTAAAAATGGATTAAATGTTTTGAAAATTTTACCACGCTTAGAAAAAGTAAATATGAGTTTTCTGTCAAAATTTCAATTCTTTATAAATATATATAACTAAATTACATTAAAAACAAAGTTTAAAATAATAAAATAATTATTTTCGTACATTTTTTCATACTTTCTACTTTTTTCGGTTTTATTAAACTATTAAAAAAATACAAAGAAAATCAAAAAACAAATATCCTTGTTCACCAACTAGATTAAAAATTCAACAAAACAAATCGCATACTGTTTTTTTTATTGGAGCAATATTTATGTTAGAAAAAGTAAACCTCAAAAATTTAAAATAATGATGAAAATGATGTTTTTGTCAGTTTTATTTTACATTTTTTTCTGGGTACTACCTATTGACAATATCAGACTTAACATGGGGAATAATTTTCTTACATGATTAATATTAATTATATGAAAGCAATTTTAAAAATACCTAAATATTTTATAAAATTTAAAATTATTTAAATAATATTTAACTTGTGAGGAGGCAAAATGATAAGTTTACCCACCCAATTTTTGTCCGGGGATGGGAAACTTTCCCCCGTGCTCCCCCACATGCCGCCTATGGTAAAACCAATACATTCCGTCTATATTTTGGAATCAGATGTTCGAGCTTAATGATTTTCACGGAAACTTCTGACTATGTTTTAAATGTAGAATAAAATCACCAATAAATAAAAAATTTGCCTGCATTTCTTCCGTTTTTCCTAGTTTTTCTCATCTATCGGAAAAATTCCTCGTAAAATCAAAAAATGACCCCTTTATAGTACCGCCTTCCAGGAAAATTCCTTTTCAGAAAAGGTAATATACTTGATACTTCGGAACAAAATTTCTGGTAGAATTTGTATACATAGTATAAAAAAGTAAAAAATAAAACATCTTTGTAAAACCTTCTTAATACATTCTTCGCTATACTCAAAATCTAAAAGTTTACAAAAAAAATGAACTATACAAATATTCAGTATCAGTTTTAATATTTACTTACATTTGTATATACTTCTTACTTTGTCTATTCTATTCCATCAATATTTAACAATAAAAAGTTATGTTTATTGGATAAAAACTAAACTATTCAAATCCATTAGTTAGGCAACGAAAAAATGACAAACTATTTAATTTCCAACGCTGGTTGCGTATACACACCAAATTTTAAATTATTCATATCACAAAAAAAAAAAAAGGAAAATCGTTTACTTATTATTACATCATTCGTACGTGATACCTATTGAAGACATTCTAGAATTAGAAATTATTGATAATTCACATTGGGTGACATAGTTGAATAGGTATTGTATTAATAACTAATAAGAGACGTTTCATATTTAAATAATACATATTCGTTCAGGTGTATAAAATTACTTACATGGTACATGTTGGTACATTTATATTGATACCGTTAAGTACGTTAATTCCACCATAGCTCTTAAATGCATCGATCACTTTCACTTCATATTGAATATTTTCTTCAGCCATTTTTGTACAGCAATGTTACATACAATCGTATAATTTACCTATTTATTTTACCTTTTACCAAAGTTCTAAATTTAATGGGCAGCAGGTACTAAATTTGACGCGTTATATTTAATCGGAATATATCACATTTAGAAATTAAATTTGAAAACCTTAAACAACATCGTAGAAATAAATAAATAAAAAAATAAATACCTAATGTATACTCGTGGACTGTGAGTATGAGTATAAAATATATGGCGTAATAAATTTGTGTGTAGAACACATTTCAAAAACTAAGTAATGCGACCACCAACTACTAAAGTGAGCCGTTCAACGTTCCCATAACCAGTTGTGCACGCTGCGCAGGGGTTCTCCGCGTATACTGTTTGTTTTTACATTCATCCAGTACTACCTATAAAAAATAACATTACATCTCGTTGACAGTGTGAATCCAGTTACCAATCATTGCTGCCGAATTTTTCTACTTTTACATTTTTAATTTAACGTAAAACGAAATAATTTATCTTTTAACAACTTACATTTTATAGGTATAAATATGTTGTGTGGTATAAAAGAGAAATTGTATTTATGTATCGAAAATAATTTTTTTTTTTTTTTTACCCGTTTAGTCATCCTTAGTTTATCTTTGTTATGACCTTAAAAATGAATTTAAGTATAGTAAGCTAGGGTAAGCTAGGATAAACTAAGATAGTAGGGTACACATAAAGTTATTAAATTTATATCTGTATGTAATAAACCAATGGTAGCTAAAAATGTTTCTGAATCAAATTATTTTATTAAATTATTATTTAATCAAATAAACAATTTTAACACGTGTCGAAAAGGCTAAAATTCTTTGGAAAAATCAGGTATTTACGATTATTTTTAACTGAATTGCAATAAAAATACAAAATCTAAAATAATGAAATTATTAATGCAGTGTAAACATTCCTGGTTTTCTCAATTATTTAGAAAACTACACGAAAAATAAAAATAAAATAACTATCTTACAATTCAACTAGACAACATTTTCTTTCAGAAAAGATGCAACTCTTAAAATTTGGAATAAGATTTCTAATAGTAAACAATAATCAAAAGTATTTAAAATAATGAAACCTTTTACATCACAGCTTGATGCCATAAATATTTGTCCGTTTTTCCAATAATTTTTTTCCGGTATTCCTCAATTATTATGATAACCAGGAAAATCAACTAAGGAAATTAAAACATCGCCGTCACTCTGTACTAACTAAATCAAAAATGCTACAAAATAGTCTTAAATGCCTTAAATTTTTGATAGGTGAAAGATTTCTGGTGGAAAAGTTGTTTGTTTCAAACAAAAAACAGACAGTTGGACTGGTAAAAAAAAAATGTAATGCATATCTATACTGTAAGATTAATCGTTGCTTACAAAAAACGATTCTGAGCGGAGTTCGGTTATACATGTTTTGAAATAACATAATATTGGCGATTTAAAAATGAAGCATTTTGTACATTTTCCCATTTTTCGCATTTATTATGATAACTCCTGAGAAAATCAAAATATGGCTCCCCTAAAGTACCACCCCAATCAGATTTCCTTCCAAAAAAACTGCTATATTTAAATATCAGAACAAAATTGCTGGTAGAAAAGTGGTTCAAAGAAAAAAAAAATTAAATAATACAAACGTTATTGTAAAACCAGTATATATTAATCGCTCCGCTCAGAATCTAAAAAAAAAATTCAATACATAGTAAAACCAATACATTCCTTGCTCGGCTTATAATCTATAATAGCCGATACTAAGGAATGGGGATAGGTGTGCCATTGTTGTAGGTGGGGAGTTAAAATGTTCATTTTTGTATTTAACTTAACTTAAACGTGTTTATTCTTTTCATCAACTTATGTATATAGTAGGACATCTTTAATATTAACATGACGTGCATTGTCTTAGTTACACACTGTTGTTGATTAGGGTGATCCTTATTTTATAAAACTAATATTTTCCACAAGATGCTCTAAAAGTTTATTCATAACCTCTAAAAAATGATATGTCCAATAGTTTAGGAATATATTTAACCCGTGCCTCAAAAGGGTTGACATTTGAAAAGGTGGTGGTTTTTAAGGTTTTCATAACAATCGCTTTATTTATTCGGCTATTGATATATATTGCTTTAACCGCACACCTATGATTATATGAGTATAATTAATAAGTTCTCCTTGGTCCAAAAATGTAAATAATAGTAACCACGAATAATTCATAGAGGTTTTATAACGACACATAATCTCTATACACACGCAACTACTTTCTGGGTTTTGTTAAATGAGTTGAAAAATATAACCTGAACAAAGATAATCCATATGCTATAATTATAAAATACCATAGAAATAATTTGTATTCAAGGTTACACCAAAATCCACTTAAACATTTTAACATTGAAATGTCTCATATTTTTTATTAACTATCAGAACCTGTGCATAGCATGATTTATGACAACCAAATTAAGGTAGTTTATAATTAATAATAAATTATCTGCTGTATCATACGAGATATCTACTATAGATGATAGATTATCCTTTCAAAAATAAATTTCTTTAACATAAAATAACTAAAATAAATCAGATGTCATATCAAAAAAAAGAAAATGTTTTTTCTCACAAACACACGCACACACATATCTAATTATATTATTAAATTATAGATAATTAAAATAAAATGTTCATGGGTAGACCAACTGTAGTCAGTGAATAGTTGGATGATATAGAAAAGTTACCTGAAGAGTAATATTTAAAATGCATCCTATATGAGACGATAAATCCATGTAAAAGGTAAAAATTACTATATTATTATAATGCATGTATACAATACTTTTCTGAGTGATGCGTGGTTAAACATTTTTTGTTAAATTTAAATTTAAAATGTTAATAATTTGTTAAATAAAAAATTTTACTTGTCTTGAGCCTAACTTAATTATTAATTTGAACTGAATACTCACATAATAATATCACCCCTAATTTTTGTTTTATTTTTTTTACCTTTTAGAGCAACAAATTACAACATTTATATTTTTTATCCACATGAGTAAAAAACTTTTAAAAATCTATAAATAATTCCATAGGAATCGAACTATTTTAAAAACTCTACCATATGTTAAAAGTATTAATATCTGTAAAATCTTCTGGTCGGCTAATTATTTCTCATCAAACTATAATAAAACTGATTGTACGATGTAAACATTCACAATATTCCGATGTTTTTTCGAGGTTTTCTTTATTAAGATAAATAAAGAAATTACATATTTACTGTATTATTAAAGTTTATCTATCAAAACAATACAAGAAAGCTCCTATGAAATTTTGATTGGAGCTAGTCTTTTCGTCGAATAATTTTTTATAGAAAGAAAAAACTAAAAATCAAATAATCTACATATATACATTTTGCCTTATTTAATTTATTCTTTCCTAGTTTTGATTTCCTAAATTTTGATTTTCCAAGTTTATATATACCTGCCAAGCTTTCTTAGCCATGGGTGCGGGGTGTGGCAACTGTTAAAGGTAATTTAATGTATACCTGTAAGCAACAATAAACCATTTCTAAAGAAAAAACGACTCTGAGCGGAATTCAGTTGATAGTGCTGCTTTATCAACAATAAATACGGAATATTATAGTAAAATTCCAATTATTTCAATTCCGAAATTGAAATGGATCTCAATTTTCTCGATTTTCCCATATTTTATTCCTGGTTTTTCACATTCGCTGGGAAAGCTCTTGGGAAAATCTAAAAATAGCTTCCCTAAAGTACCTTCTCAGTCAAGGAATTTAATACTACATATTTAATATGACGCAGTACCAGTCAAAATAATAAAATATGTATTATTTTTATTTTAGATTCACGATGAGTAAATATAATGAATAATGGTGAAAAATACATATTTTTATTTATAAACGATGTCGCCCCTAAAATTCAAAAAATATTTACAGTCCTATGTGGTCGCACGGATCGCACGTACCGATCCTATATATTGGTTTTACTGTAATTTGTCTTAGATTCTAAACGGGAGGAAAAATGTATTGATTTTAGTATGTACGAATATTTAATTTTTTTTTTTTCTTTGGTATATTAACTTCTTTAATTGTTTGCTGAATTTTAAATCTAGTTGGTATATTTACCAAGAAGTATATTCCCAGCAATTTTCATAATTGTTAGAAAAACCTGAAAAACGTATAGAAAAAAAAAACAGACAAATATTTAAGGCCACGGAGTAACGATTTTATTATTTTCGTTTTTTATTTTTTGTTGTATGTAATTCAGGTTTAATCATTGAGACATGGAATTTGTAGAAAATATTTAAAAGTGAAACACGATCATAAGTTTTCAAAATTAAATACAATTACTGTAATATTATTTATTTTAAAGAATAATATATCGATTCAAAGAAAATCAAATGAACATAATAGATTCGTTTAGTCAGGTACGTAGGATGTTATTTATTATTATTTTTTTTTTTTTGAAGAGGGGATCTAAACATAATTTATCACCAACTACCAATAATCTGATTTTTTATAAAAAGTTTAAATTTTAGGGAGGGTCCAAATCCTTTGGTACCCCCTGGCTACGTGTCTGGATTGAGTGAAGTGATCATCATATTATTGCTAAAAATAAAGAACCTTCAGAAGATTTTTTAGTTAATGTAACTAGCATATACAGTTTAAATTTAAATATACATGATTAAAATGATTTGAAGACTGATCTGAGAATATTTTATAGGATTTCAAGCAAATAAAAAAAAATCTAATAAACCCATAGACCGATAGACTATAATAACCTATGAATATACATCATAAAATATATCAATGTATATCAAATACTCAATTAAATGCAATATATTAGATAGAATATTATTCATCAAGGATTTTCAATTACTTTATTATAAGAAAATATTTTAAAAAATAAAATGTAAAATTGTTATCTATGTGTAAAGCTATATCTATAGTTATGACTGACTCATATAGTTGTATAATTCAAAACACAAATAAAATAAACGACTTCATTTACATCTAACCTACAAACTATAAAATTTAATAATGAATTGAATACTATATACAAAATGTGTATACATTTACGAATATAAATGATTCACGTACATGTATTCTACCTTACCGTCAACGAACTACCTTAAATCGACTGAAACCCTGCAAGATGTCCTTCCATTTAATTTATTACGTAATAAAATTTTAAAAAATAATAATACAAGGTAGAATACATAAGTTTTTAGATACGGAGCGTAGCGAGAGATCGA